TGAGCTTAATTGAAAGGTGGCTGAACTCTTAGGGCTCAATGGGTTGTGGTCAGTGACATGAAGTCTAGCTAGAGGACAGTCAGTAGTGGTATACCCCACTGGGGTAAATATGGGAGCCAACACATCTTCATGGCTGTCCTGGATGGTGGGACGGAGTGCACCCTCAGCAAGTTTGTTTGCTTAAAACTGGAAGGAGTGGTCGATGCACCAGATAGTTGTGCTGCTATTCAGAGGGATCTTGACAAGCTAGAGAAACGTGCCAAAAGGAATTCCATGAAGTTCAACAAAGGGAAATGCAAAGTCCTGCGCCTGGGAAGGAATAACTCCATGTACCAGGACAGGCTGGGGGCTGACTGTCTGGAAAGCAGCTTTGCAGAAAAAGATTTGGGGTGTCCTGGTGGACAAAAAGGTGAACAGAAGTCAGCAATGTGCCCTTATGGCAAAGAAGGCCAACAGCGTCCTGGGCTGCATTAGGAAGAGCATTGTTAGCAGGTTGGGAGGTGATCTTTCCTCTCTACACAGGACTGGTGAGGCACATCTGAAGTGCTGAGTCCAGTGCTGGGCTCCCCATTACAACAGACATGGACATGCTGGAGCGAGTCCAGTGAAGAGCCACAAAGATGATTCAGGTACTGGAACATCTTTCATATGAGGAGAGGCTGCAAGAGCTGGGCTTATTTAGCCTGGAGAAGAGAAGGTTCAGGGGGATCTTAACAACGTATAATATAAATACCTGATGGGGGAAGTAAAGACCGTGGAGGCAGACTCTTCTCAGTGGTTTTCAGTGACAGGACAAGAGGCAATGGGCACAAATTGAAATACAATAAATTCCTTTTAAACATAAAGAATTTTTATTATTTTTTAACTGTAAGGGTGATTGAACACCGGAGCAGGCTGCTCAGAGAGGTTGTGGAGTCTCCGTCCTTGGAGATACTCAAAACCCAACTGGACATGGCCCTGAGCAACCTGCTGTAGCTGATTCTGCTTTGAGCAGGGGTATTGGACTGGATGATCTCCAGTCCAACTATTCTGTTTCTGTATCCTAATGGATCTCAAATGGAACTAAATGCCTGTGTATGGTCAGTTAAACCACTATTTTTACTCTGAGATTTTAATTTTTACTCCCAGCATTCATCCCAATTGTTTTGACTTCAAAACTTCCTGAAAATCAATAAAAGTTAAAAAAAAAAAAAACAACTTGAAATACCACTAAGTTTTAGAAGAAAAAATTTGGACTGATATTGTTAAATATAATAAAATACATAAAACTGGCAGAAATGTATTGTTTACTGCATTTTAACTCACACAACATAAAACTATATGGAGTAAGAAAATTAATTTAATAGAGCTAAACCATGAAGTTTAGCTGTCATTCTGAGGGCTCTTCTCTTCTGTCTGATGCTGTAATGACAAAATGAAAAATTGTTTTGACTTTCATTCATTCTTTCAGAGTCTGGGAAACATGAATATCCTGAAGGGTTTAGAAAATTGCATTTAGAAGAAGCAAACAGATAAACTGTAATGATCTGTATAAATTTATAATTATTTTGTTCTAAGCATGTTGGTTTCTAAATGCTGAAATATGGCAGATCTCCACTGGATTCCTTTTAGCTGATGGAGGTAGAGAGAAAACTTCTTTGAATCACCCACTGGAGTTTAAGTTAGATGCCTATATTAGAGGAGTTCCTATTTCTGTTTCTATCCTGACTATATAGCGATACAGGAGTGTAATACGCTAAAAGAAGGAGGCTAAGAAAAATCTTGCAGCAATTTTCTGAATGGATATCAGCAGGGCAAGTGCTAAATTTTAAGCATTCTATTGAAATCTGTAGGTTCTCAATGGCAAAGTTAGGAAGACACTAATCTTATTCCCTCGATGGGACCAAACATTTGTGTTCTGTTATAGAATCATAGAATAGTTTGGGTTGAAAGGGGCCGTTAAAGGTCATCTAGTCCACCCCCCCTGCCGTGGGCAGGGACATTTTCAACTAGATCAGGTTGCTCAGAGCCCTGTCCAACCTGACCTTGAATGTTTAAAGGGATGGGGCATCTACTACCTCTCTGGCAACCTGTGCCAGTGTTTCACCACCCACACTGTAAAAAATTTCTTCCTTATATCTAGTCTAAATCTACTCTCTTTTAGTTTAAAACTATTACCCCTTGTCCTGTCACAGCAGGCCCTGCTAAAAAGTTTGTCCCCATCTTTCTTATAAGCCCCCTTTAAGTACTGAAAGGCTGCAATAAGGTCTC